ATGCCCTTTCTGGTTCAGAAGTTTCTGAAGAATGACCCGTCTGGTGCAAACATTCGTGCTAGAAATAGAATTAACGCTTGAAATGGTTAAAATCCTTTAATAGCAATGAGCAATGAGTTCGTAGCAGCCAAAACTTTCACGAAGTCGTAAGTGTAACCTGCGAGCACAAGAAGGTTGAGTTTAAGTTTGCTGGCTCGCATGTGGGCAGAGGAAATATCCATAAAATTTCAGCTTCCCAGCTTTCGTGGTTCCCGAGGTAAGAAGAGGGAAAAGCAGAAAATGAGGACGGACTTCTAAAGTTCCTATGGCATGTAGCAAAGGCAGTAGTGCTAAATGTGCTAAAAATTTATGAAAGCGATATGGTAAAACTATGTGTACTTCATCCCAACCCAGTATACATAAAAAACAGGGGTGATCGTGCATGGGACGAAAATGTGGGTATAGTTGTGCGATTTTTCCGCTTTTGCAACTAAATTTTTCAATTTTTCTACTCTCCATTCTTCGGGGAAAATTTTCGGGAAAAATCAACGTAATCAGTAAACAACATGAATTGTTAGCTATAGGTTTTCCGGCCCTCAGGATCATAAAAAAACAACTTATTCCCTAAGCTGGCCGGTCTGGAAGTTGCAGTGGGAAGTAGTGTCACTCCGATGCTTAAAGTGCAGGGTCTGACTTAGCCAGTGGGAGACCAATCCCTCTACAAATCATCATTCGTTTGATGGCACTTCCAGTTTTTTCATTAATTATCAAAATTCGACTGTGTTCCTCTCCGCGGTGGTGGGTCACCAATGCCAAACAAACTGCATATGTTAATGCAAAGACGCGATTTCAGGCCTCGTCCTCTTTCAAACTCCCAGCCGGAGATATTCACTGTTTGTATCTCTAAAATTTCTACAACACTTGGCATTGACGCATGTAAGCTTGCCTGTAAGCAAAATTCCAGATAGGTAGCAACCAACAGCTCCCTCCCCCCTTATTAAATGGTGATTTCTATTGGCATGTGTTATGACTCGAATTAATTCTAAGTATATCCTCCCATATAGACGGACCCGGGCTGTTTTTGCTCTTTTTTTCATCAACAAAACGTTGTTTCCTGGCAAAAGTAAAAAAAAATTTAGATTACCATACCTTTAAGCCTAAAATTTCGGCTCTGTGCCAGCGACCAAGAATAGTGGCCAGCTCAAATTCTACATCAACTATACAGTAAACACGCTCGCCTTTTTCCAATGCAGCAATTCTGAAAAAGAAAAATACTCGCTAAAAAAGTTCCAAAAATAAGGAATTGAAAAAACAAAACAAAACTAAATAAGTCGGAAAAGTGAGTTAATTTTAACCTCATATTTGAGGTAAAACCAACAAAATCAGGATGTACTGATAAGAAATTCCTAGGGATAACTGTATGCCGAAAAAAGCTAAGGCCATCTCAAGTGCGATAATGGTTAAGAGGGACAGAACCGGGCATACGCATCACTGCATAAAATGTATGGCATAGGAAGATGGTTGGAAATTACATATTACAGGGCAAACGTAGGTTTGCAGTCTATATTTCATCCCTTAGCCGTAAATACAGACAGAGAATCTGATGCAAGTTGGAGTGGGAATCATCAGTGCAACCTCTAAGTCGCTATGTGTGAAAAGATAAAATAAGCGTGGCAGTGGAAGTAGAAGAAAGGAAATGAGAAGAGGAAAGGAGAATTGAGGAGATGAGAAAGTAAGAGGAATTATCGGCTGAAAGTCTGAGGAAATAGCAGTAAAATGTGCATTTCTTAGAATCCTATAGTGACTCTAATCGTTTCGAAATGTTCTCGGTTTTCAGACCCAAAATTAATATTTACTCCTCGAACGCTATCACTCTCGGCCCACGGCCTAATTTATGGTGCCTTATCAGATCAAAAATAAAAAAACTTACACTCGAGAGCAGTTGATGGTTCGCCGATTTCTTGAATGGGCATAGAATGTGTGTAGTTCGGCTGTGAAATCACACAAAACACTGTTTGCAGTGATCATCGCTTCAACTGCCTCATTCACTGTATCTAGGCCTTCTTCAGCTACATCCCCATTCGCCAAACCACTTTGTTCTTGATGATTCGCGACTGTAGCTTTTTTCAGTTTCAACGGATGAGCGTGAAATTCGTACGGTGAAATTGTACTTCTAAAAATAAACATGCAATGGCAAGAAATGAGTGAGTTAAGCCCTCAATTTACATACAGGCTTGCTTATCTGAGAGATCTAAATGGCACTTACAGTTTTTCCACAACTATCCAAATTCGACTGTGTTCCGATCCACGGTAAGCCAACAACACCAAACAAGCTGCGTAAGTTAACAGAAGACATCAGACCCCCGTCCTGTTCCAACCCCCTAGCCAGAGATATTCACTGTTTGCATCTTTAAAATTTCTGAAACACTTGATGAATCTGTGATACCAAATGCTGCTCGCCTGTTTTACCGGAAACTTCGCCGGTCGCTAGTCAACTTATATGGGGATAATTTAACAGTGAGACGATAAGAAAACTAAGGATGTACCAATGTGTTGCATGCACGATAAACAAATCGTAGTGCAAATATATATTTCATCCCTTAGCACAGACAGACACTGCTACCGCGAACAGACCGGTGTGAAAATGTATTTTTTTGCAAAAATTTCTTAACTAAGAAGACAATTCGAAGAATGCTTCACGTGCCCGATGTCACATAGCACCAGATCACCGAGCCATCATAGGGCAAAAGACTACATTCCCATAATTTCTGTTCAGGTTAATTAGTCACACACACACGCATACAAACACGCACACACTCACTTGCACAGCCACACAAATACACACACACACACACACACGTCTCTTTTGAGCCTAAAATTTCATATATGCATGAATGCAAAATCAGTATGCAAGCTTTTTATTAGAAAAACCAAAAAAAAACTAATACTTACCTTCCTTCCACATCGACGAGAAGTTTTCCATCTTGACAAAATTGATGCTCTTTTAGCCACTCAAAGTCAACAACTGGAATCTGAAATAGTAAAAAAGTTTCACATGGAAAGAAACAAGTCCTCTGGAAAAAAAATCATCTGGATTGTAAAAAAAAAGACTCCCAACAGAGAAGAGAAAAAAGGGTGTGATCACCTGGCGCGGCTCAGTTTCCCACCAAATTTCTCGATCAACTAAGTGATATTTCATTTCATCGTTACCCGGGAACGTCATTTGCCACCTTTCCAGATTATTCTGAGCCATAACTGCTTCCCTACGTTCCTGAAATAATTATTAAAGCACAGGTGAGCAAAAGTAGCTTGGACAGAATTAAAAGCATTCAAAACATTTAAAGGCAAGCGATCTACAGTCCACCGTTGAAAAAAAATCCTTCGGCTATTTCAGTTCTTCATAAAACTTTTTCAATGCACTGATAAGCATAAGCGGATCTAGGGCGAAGGGGTCTTTCGCCCTCCTTCCTTCTCCCCCTTCCCTCCTAGCGGCACAGACACTAGTGCTGCAAAAGCCCGAAACCAAAGCTAAAACTAAAGTAAACTAAAGTCTAAGGTAACTCTAAACTAAAGTAATTCTAAGTAGCAGTACTGCAACTGTATCCCTAGTTTTTGCATAGTTCCAGGTGGGAGGGAATCTCGCGCCGTAGGTAAAATTAAGCTCAAAAAAAGCAGTCAAAAAAAATCATTTACAACGATGTCGTAGATTTTTTGTTGGCCGCCATCAAACAGTTCCCGATCATAATGCACGGTACCAAAGCGATTGAAGACAAATGCTTGATCAATTGGAACACCCAGATCTTCCTCTTCCGATTTTAGACCGTACATATTAACCTTCAAAATTTGAACATTCTCTCACCATCTAATAACATCATAAAACCTACAAAAATTCCGCTTACTTGTAAGGGAGAAGCTAAAAATTCCACTTATTGTAAGGAACAAGTCCAAAGCGCTGTTCAATGTGCTAGTGTCGATCAAATAATTCGCAAAGCAAGATATGCTGGGTAAAAATCTTACTTTTTCAATAAGAAGCATAACATCGACGGAGAATTCAGAGCCACAATAGCTCCTCGTCATAAAATTTGGCGCATAACAAGTCTGCCAGCATTAGCAAAATGATGGGACCAAAAAAGTTCAAACAATAGCCGTACAAACATCGGCATCTGAGGGAATGCACACAGCCTTTTCGTTTCTTTTTTACCTTTATCATCCCTCTCAT